CATCATTCTGTCTACAGCCATCATGATCTGTATACTCCTGCACATTGCCTGTCATTGTTGTAGGTTGTTAGATTTGTGTCTTAATAGGCATCTATATTGTGGTGAAAAATTTTTTTTTTCAGGAGTAGAACTCCAACTTGGAAACTAACAGATAGAGCTGTCCAAAAATGGACTGGGCTATTTTGGGAAGTAGTGAGTTCTCTGTCACTGGACTTCTTCAAGTAGTATTGGATGACCACTCTTTGGTTCTGTTTTAGAAGGGAAGTTTAGGTCCTTTCCAATTCTGAAACTTGGTGAACTTTGACTTCTGTAAGTTTTTTTTCTTCCAGGTCTAATGGACATTGCATTAACTTAGGGGTTTGTTTTGGTTTTTGAGCAGCATTGTAGATTCAGAAACTATGCTAAAAACGAAGATTTTATAAATTTTGTGTAAACAAAAAACATAAAAATTACTTCTCAAAATGACTAAGGAAAATTGTTTATTGCCTTCTCTTAATTATCCTTAGCTTTTCAATCACTGAAAGTTCTTTTGAGAGGTAGCATCAGAGACATTTAAGTTTGGCTAAGTGAGCATTCATTTCTTTGGGAGACTTAATTCACTTAACAAGTTCATACATTTAAAAATTTTCCATCTCTAAATCCCTAAAAAGAAGGGGAGAAATGCCACATTTTAATAATATCCTCATATGGAAGTAACTCAGAGGTGTTTTCCTCTAGTGCCCCCATTCCCAGTGTATTAGAGAGAGATGTCCCTTAGGGAATAACATGGTGGGTCCCTTAGTGAAGTCATTTAAATCAAAGCTTGCATTTAAAATGCTTGTATATTTCATCATTGTGATCTCAGGAATCTACTTTATTTGTTAAATTTCATAGGAAATTGCTTTCTCTCACTGTATGTTTAGTGGTTTAAGTGACTTAATTTTATAACCTCCTTAAAGGTAAGGACAGTGTCTTATTTTTCTTTGGATCTCTTAGATCCCAGCACAATTTTTTTTTAAAGTTGTTCATTTGTTTTAGTTGTATCTGACTCCTCATGACTGTGTTTGAGGTTTTCTTGGCAGATACTGGAGTGGTTCACCATTTCCTTCTCCAACTCATTTTACAGGTAAGGAACTGAGGCTAACAGATTTAAGTGACTTGCCCAGAGTCACACAGCTAGTAAGTGTCTGAGGCTGGATTTTTAAAGTAGAGGTAGCTTAATGTAACACAAAGGGTGTGAGCATCAGAAGCTCTGGGTTCAAAATCGTCTGCTAACACTTAGCTGTGTGACACAGGGCAAGTAATCTAACCAATCTTCAGTCTTCTTATGTGTAAAATGGGGATAATAACTACCTCATAAGAAAGAGCTTTGTAAACCTTAAAGCACTTATGATTTTTTTTTGTTACTTGTTAGCAGATGCTCTTTCTAAGGTTACCAATAATCTCCCAATGATCAAATCATAAAATCTTAGATCTTGAACTAGAAAAGACCTCAGAAGCTATCTAATCCAACAACTTTACTTTAAAGGTGAGAAAAATGAGGCCCAGGGAATTTTGGTGGCTTGTCCAAGGTCCTCTGAGGCGTTGCACTTTCTATTGTATCATGGAGCATTTGACATTGTTGAACATGTCTTCCTGGATATTCTCTGTTCCTTAGGATTTTATGATACAGTTCTTTCCTGATTTTTCTCCTACCTGTCTGGTTGATCTTTCTCAGTTTCCTTGGCTGGATCACCAGATATATTCCATATCCTGCAGTGGTCAAACCCCTGTATCCTCTTTTCTTTTCACCATACACACTCATGATCTCATCAGTACCCGTAGGTCCTGACTCATAGTGATGACTCAGGTGACTTCTAGATCTTTACAATCTTCCCTACTCTCTCTCTTTGAACTCCTGTCCTGAATCACCAAATGCCTACCCATAGACCTCAAACTCAACAGGTCCAAAGCAGAGCTCATTGTCTTCCCTTACTCCCCAAAGCCTTTCCGTCTTCTGAACCTCCCTGTTTCATTGAGAGTAAGTAACTTCCAGTCACTACATAAACTTGGAGTCAGCACCCATGCTTTCCTCTTACTTACCTCCCTCACTCAATAAGTTTCTAAGTCTTGCCATTTAATCCCCCCCCCTTCAATATCCCCCTTCTCTTCAATAACATAGTCAGTGGGGTAGCTAGGTGATGCAGTGGATAGAGCTCTGGGCCTGGAGTCAGGAAGATCTGAGTTCAAATTTCATCTCTTACACTTACTAGCTTTGTGACCCTGGGCAAGTCACTTAATATCTGTTTGCCTCAGTTTCCTCATCTGCAAAATGAGGATTATAATGGCATTTACCTCCCAGGGTGGTAGTAAGGATCAAAGGACCTAATAATTGTAAAGCACTTAGCATGCATAGTGCCTAGCACATAGTGGACACTATATAAATGTTAGCTATTATTATTATTATTCAGACCCTCATCACCTGGACTATTAATAGTTCTAAACTGTTCTTCCAGCTTTGATTCTCTCTCCTCTGTAGTTCACCCAACACATTTTGCCAAAGTGATGTTTTTAAAGCACAGTTCTCCTACTCAAGAAGCCGAGAAGATCTCACTCTTGCCTGTAGGACAAAATATAAACTCCTCTAACCAGCATCCCTTCATAACCTACCTCTAGCTTACCTTTCTAGGCTCTATGGCACACTATATTCTCATATATATTCTACTTTCTAGCCAAATTTACCTTCTAGTTGCTCCCTGTACACAGCATTCCCTGTCTTGGTGCCTTTGTGTAGACCTGGTATGGACTCCCTCCTGATTTTTTTGTGACAGGGCAGCCAAAATAACCAGTGTAAATATCAAACTGAATTAATGTCAACAGTATTCAGAATGAATGAAGGTGGTAGTTCTGAAATACTCCACAAAGCCGTGGCAGTGCTTCTCTGGCCTCCACTGTCTGAAGACCAGGTCTACTATTTCAGCCCTCCCCAGGGGAGGAGGTTGGAGGGTCTCCTTCCTCTCTGCAATTGGCTCGAGCTCCCACCCATCATGTTCCTAAGATTTTAGGGGTCCAAGCACCCCAGTTCCATTTAATAATTTATAATAGCTTAGCTTTTCCAGAGGAGTATTTACTTTAAAGGTAGAGCCAGAAGAAACATACAAACACGTCCCCCGAAAACCTGGGGGGGCCTTAATCCCCCCAATAGTACCTCAGTCTCTGATCTGATTATACTTTTTTGGAAGTGTAACCAGGATGATGATGGGCCTCAAGTCCATGTCACAGGAGGATTTGTTAAAGAACTAAAGGCGAGTTAGCCTGATAAAAGAAAACAGGGTTGGGGAGAGGGAAGACAGCTGTCTTCAAGTATTTGAAGAGAAGTCATATAGAAGAGAAATTAGACTTATTTAGCTTTGCTACAGAGGGCAAAACAATGAACACCAGGCAGAAATTGCAGAGAGGCAGTTCAGTAGGCAGTGAGTTCTCTTTAACTGCAGTTACTTAAGTAGGGGTTAGGTAATGACTTGTCATGATGGTTTTCTAGGGAGTTTCATTATTCCAACTCTCTGATTCTGTGCTTTCTTAAATTTTGCGGGGAGAAAGTATCAGAAAAATTCAACAAGACACTTGAGGAAGTTCTTGTTCTTTGTTTTTCATTTTTGAAGAGGACCAATGACATCATGGGGTGATGACATGACCCAGCACGTGAATTGGATTTAAGTGAGGCAAAGTTGCACAAAGTCATCAACTCTCTCTTCTGGATGCATCAAAGTCCAGTGGCAAAACAAAAGTCAGGATGACTGGTGATGGCTCAGGATGCTGTGGATGACCTTGGTATTTTTGATATCTGAACAAGCTCTAAGCTCTCCCAACACCAGTTTCAACTGCCTTTATGGCTATTGGAAAAAATTGTTCTCACCAACCCATTCCAGTGGGGTCAGGGGGAAGAGTCTTCACTTGCTTGGGGTAGACACCCACCTAACTCACCAATGAGTTTGAGGCCCATTGGTTACCCTCCATCTGGTTTAGCCTATCTGCTGAGATGGTTTACTAGGGTGTGGCTGTCACAGGTGAGAGTTGAGTACCAGGTGGGCACCAAAGGTGGATGATCAATTCTGAAAAGGGCTTGGCAAGCCCTCACACCAGAGGTGCTAGACCTGCTTGAACACCACATAGACCCCAGGAGTTCTAAGGGAGATGGGGTGACAGCCTGTTTTTAGTTATAGGCAAATAACTATTTTCCTCTCCTCCTAAAGATCTATTTCTTAAGGTTAGAGCCATAGGGAGGTCCTAATTTGTCATGCCTCAGGGTTGGTTCTGGTAGAAAGAACATTCAGTCAACCACAGATTTAAAAAAAAAATTACCACTAATATAAGTAGAAGGGCAACTAGATGGTGCAGTGAATAGAGTACTAGGCTTGGAGCCAGGAAGACTCATATTCCTGAGTTCAAATCCCACCTGAGATACTTACCTGAGACCCTAGGCAAGTCATTTAACCCTGTTTGCCTGAATTCCTCATCTGTAAAATGAGTTGGAGAAGGAAATGGCAGACCGATCCAGTATCTTTGCCAAGAAAACCCCAAATGGGGTCATGAAGAGTCAGGCATGACTGAAAAACAACTGAACAACAACAGAATAACATTGTTGACACCTTGATCATATGGACAAAATCAGTCAGTCAATAAGCATTTATTAAGGCCCCATTATGTACCAGTCACTGTGTTAAGCCTGGGAAGACAAATTCAAGCCAAAAGAAAGACAGTTCCTGACCTCGAGGAGTTTACTTACCTGTGTAATTACAGTCTCAAAGGCCATTGGTATGAGGCTTTCCTGATTGGTGGAGATCAATATCCCACACCTGTGTGAAGGGCAGGGTGGAATTAGTTGGCCAGGAAAAAGGAGAGCTCTTCAGTTTTTCTTTGGACCTTCTTCCAACTCGACAGTCTTTTTCAAGTTCTCTGTAAGTTTCAAGTTCTTTTTAAACTTTGAGTCACTTCAGGAACTTCTGTCTTCCAGCTTCAAGAGGGAAGTTGGATGAAGCCAACCCCACTTCAGGTAACTGAAGGAAATAAACTCTGGGAAGACATGACAAGAGCTGGCAGGCTCCATCATGTCCCTATCCGCAGTTTGCCACATTAGAGACTTTGATGAACTTCCCTTGGGTTAGATCTAGAATTCTCTCTCGGCTGAACTGAGTTGTCTTGTTCCCAAGGTAAGAGCACCTCACTCTGCATTGTCTGGTATTAATTTTCTTTGTGTATGTCTTCTCTGATTTTCTGTTTTGCTATTGAGTTGGATAAATGGATTTCTTTGCTATTTGTGTTCATTCTGGAACTGGTATTTGGTGGGAAACAGTCAAACCTCAGATATAGAGCTTGAGGTCCTCCTTCTCCTGCAATATTAAAAAAGCAATCAGAAATTAGTGTGAACCTGAAAACCGTATCCCCTGTAGACTAACAATATTTAAGGGAGCAGGTAGATATAATCCTAACCCACTATCCCATTAATTCAAGAAGAGCAGAATGACCTTGGGCCCCAAATCTCCTGCTTCCCCTCTTGGCAGGAAATAAAATCTCCTTCAGAGAGGGGTGGGGGAGATGTCTAGTTTGCCTCTCTTCCAGCCACACAACACCCTCATGCTATACATGAGAGGATAGCCCACCTCATACATTCTAAAGGCAGAAAAAAACACATAAAAGGAAACTTCAAAGAGAATAAGGGAGGTGCCTTGTTTGGGATCAGGGCAAAAAATCTGATAAGGTAATGATAGAGAATAAAGTGAGTTAGTCATCAGCAAATCCAATCAGAATTTTGATCAACCAGTTTGCGTGATGCTTAATTATCATAGGCGATTTTAACTTGACCTGACCCAGATCTGGAAGGGACCTTAGAGATCAGCTACTTGAATATTCTAATTTTACAGATGAGACCTTTTTTTTTTCTTTTTTTTCTCTTTCCAAAGTTGTTTTAGCACGATAGATAGAATGCCAGCTCTGGAGGAGAATCCATGTTCAAATCTGGCCTCAGACACTTACAGCAATGTGACACTGGGTAACTCACTTAACCCTGTTTGCCTCAGTTTTCTCATCTGTAAAATGAGCTGGAGAAGGAAATGGCAAACCACTCCAGTATCTTTGCCAAGAAAACTCCAAATGGGAGAATCAGATACGACTGAAAAAAACCACAACATGACACTTTTATTTCTCATTCCCTTGTGAAACATCATCTAGCTCATTAATATATATTATTCTCTCTCTCCCTTTCTCTCTTTCCTCCCTTTTCCTATTCCTCCTCCCCCTTCATTAGCATCAAATGAATTTCATTGTTTTGTCTATCTCTCAGTTTGTTATTTCCCCCCTTTTCCTATAGCAGATATAAATTACCATACTCTTCCCTTTTGACTACCTTTTTATTTCCCAATGCCTCACCATATTTACCTTCTGACTGTGCTGCCCTGGGTAAGAACTATTTTCCATTTTGAGGAGCTTCGTGAGATAAAATACTTTTAGAATGGCTTGGTCTGAGTCCTGTGTTTCAGATTCTTAGATATCCAGTGCTTTTTTTGCTGCTGGTATCTACTATATGCCAAGCACTGTGCTAAACACTGAGAATATAAAGAAAGGCCAAAGAAAAAAAAAAGCCCTTTTTCTCAAGGAGCTCACACCCTAATAGAGACAACATGAAACAAGATATATGCAGGATAACATGGAGTTCAGGAAAGACTTCCTATAGAAAATAGGATTTTAGTTGAAATCTGAAGTAAACCAGGAAAGCCAGGGGGAGGAGATGAGGAAGAAAATTCTAGGCATGGCACGGGAACAGCTGGTGAAAAAAACCTAGAATCAGAGATAGAATTCCTCTCGGGTGAGGAACAGGAAGGCAGGCAGAGTCATTGGATGGTAGAATAGGTGGGAATGTAAGGTGTAATGTGTCTACCTATGCAGGAAGGTCGTGAAGGGCTTCACAAGCCAAACAACATTTTATATTTGATCTTGGAGATGATGGGGGAATGACTGGAGTTTATTGAATTTATGTATGAAACACGGTCAGACTTATGCTTTAGGAAGATCAATTATATATGTCAATATGAATTGACCAATCACTTGGGAAGCAAATTATTAAACACTATGTTTTGGCACTGTGCATTAGTTCCAAAGCTTCCCTCATTTCTCTCCACTAGAACCATCTTCCTCCACAAAGTTTGAATTGTCTAGGAGCACATTTCAAATTGACCCCAGTCTAAAACTTATCTTTGAAATAATTTAGATCAGTGCTGTAAAACTCAAATAGAAATTGGTCACTAAATCTTGTCTAAGTATTCCTGCCAGCAGCATGTTGACTTAGAAAACCACATGTTAACATTATCTGTGTCCTATTATATTTTTATTTCTTTGGTTAAATATTTCCTAATTATATTTTAATCTAGTTGACTTCGCTCAGGCATGTTGAAGCCACAGTACTGCCCAAAAGCCGCATGTTTGACATCTCTGATGTAGATGAGTTTTGAGGATAGCAAGAGGTTTAGCAGAGTTAGCTGATTCATTCATTACTATCATAGTATACAATACCAACAATGACTTACATTTCCATAATGCCTTAAAGTTTGCAGTTAAAAAAAATTATTAGTTATGCCTCTAGTTCATTGCTTTCCTGGCATTCTTGTTCCATGTCAAATGTTCTTTGGTGCCTTGTGAGAGTAGGAAGAACCAGGAATTGGTAGGAGAACCCACATTGACGAGATGATAGATCCATTAATCATACAGTCATAGATACAGAGTTGGAAGGTCATCTAGTCCAACCCTTTAATTTTACAGATGAAAAAACTGGGACCCAGGCCAAGTGATTTGCCCAAAGACACACAAGTAGTAAGCAACCAAGGTATAAATTAAACTCAAGTCCTATGACTTCAGAGCCAGTCTATTTTCCAATTTGTTCCAATGGCCATGAAGGCATCTGGAGCCTGTGCTGTGGTGTGCTTAGAGTCTGGTCAGAAATCACACACCAGGGTCATCCATTTCATTCCCGGTCATCACCAGTCACCTTGACTTTTGTCTTGCCACCAGACTTTGATGATTCTGGAAGAGAGAGTGAAGCTGATGACTTTATGCAACTCTGTCTCACTTAAATCCAATTCATACACAGGTCAAGATATCACCCCATGATGTCATTGGGTCTCTTGAAAAACAAAGGACTGAACAACAACAATTTTTCACTATATTATGCTGCCTCCCGAGTATTGAAGTATTTCTAGTTAACCTTCACCAGAGTTTTGCTGATCATTCATTATGATATGTAGATGGCCCAGGTTATCAAAGCCTACACTGGAGTAATACAAGATCTGGCAGCTTAGGTAGCCCAAGTTGACTACTGTCCTGGAAATGGACTACATCTGTCTACCAAGCACACGTCTACTCAATTTTGAGGAGAGGCTCATTACTCAAAGTTGGTCACAAGGTAAAGAATTCTTTAGCCTTGGTAGTTGATGAAATTTTGAGAGGTTGACCTCTTCAACAGTGGAAGGAGCATTTATACCATGATGTTATATATTTTTCAAAATATTCTTAGACCAACAAAAGTGGAGTATTGGTCTTATTTGACTTACTGAAACAACCTGGACTCTGCATGACGTTAATTTTCCTTAATTGCCCAGATAATTAGTTTAGGTACTTGGCCAGAAGTATATTACTCTAGGGGCAAGTTATTTAATTGATTTATGTTTCAGATTTCTCCTTCTTAAAAGCAGGATACCAACCTACCACACAGGACACCATGAGAATGAATGAGTTAATATTTCCAGAGTGTTCTGAAATTCTTGGGTGAAAGATGCTATATAACTAAAGAGTGTTATAATTATTATTTTAATGTCTCCAGAGGCCAAACCAGATAGAATTACCATGACCACGCTTTCAGCTGGGGTTCCTCAGAGTCTGGCGATCCAGCTGTTCCAGATAACCAGAAATGTTTTCACTTCAGTAACTGTCAGACTCCAGGGAATGGCATTTCTTTTATGTTTCATGGCATTCACCAACGAAGTTTACATTAAATAAACTCTGAATTGAAAGCTCATGGGTAGTATTTCTCAAGAAAAATATTTGTTTTCTTCACTTTTGTTCTATTCAGTCCAATGTTTCAGGAGGAATGGACTATACTTTGTCTTTCTGTGAACCTCCAGTTCGCTTAAGGAACTCTTAAAACCAATTTAGGCTTTCAGAGGAATGTTGAGTTTTGCTGTTGTTTGCTTGACAGGCAACTTACAGCATTTCAGATTTATCTGTTTTCTCTTTAATAAAGCTTTCAAAGGGTTTAGTTTAGAAAAAAATTACAGAAAACCTTTCATAAAAAAAAGTTGGCTCTGGTAACAAAATGATTAGAGAAATCATGGGGATATGCTGAAATGATGAAATATGAAGTGTATCAGATGGGTTGTATTTTGTGAAACAGACTGTATCATACATTTAGGGCTTGAAGAGACCTTTGAGATTATTGAGCCAGATTTTTTACAGATGAGGAAACTGAGCCAAACAGAAGTTAAATGATTTGCTAGTAAGTATCTGAGGAGGAATTTAAACCAAGACCTTCTTAAGTCCAGGTCCAGTGTCCAGTTCCCTATACCACATCACCTCTCAGCTGTTATTGGTATTATCTGAATTTTCAATACTTTTAATATTTCAATGGATCCATGATCTTACTGAGGTGGCTGTTGTCTCTACTGGGGCAGATCATAACTTGTTTACCTTTCATTCCTTGTGGTCCTTGTCCCCACTCTTCTATAAATCTTTCAGAGTATCTACTCAAATGTTCTGGAGGCCTTTTACTAGTTCATTTGATATTTTGTGGATGCCATGTAGCAGCTGTTCTAGCTCAGCTCACTCAGCTAAGTTGTACATTGGATTTGGAGTCAGGAAGCCCTGAGTTCAAACCCTGCCTCAGATACTTACTATGTTTCCCTGGGTAATTTATAACCTCTCAACTTCAGTTTTCTCATCTGCAAAATGTGGTCTCAGTGCAAATAATAAATACCCTGAAGTAGTTTCATGTATTTGGATTAGTACTATTTGAAGTTATAATTAGGGCAAAATGGTCATTGGTTCCAGCCCAGTGGAAATATAGAGTGTGAATTTGATTCCTTGGGACCTAGCACATACCTTACAGGATTAATAGCACTTTCCTTACAGGATTATTGTGAGGATTAAATGAGATAATCTTAAAGCG